AATGACACCTGCCTCAGCCTCCCAAAGTGCTGGGATTACAGGCCTGAGCCACCATGCCCAGCCCATGGGCTCTGTATTTCATTGTTTTTATGTCTGTCCTTATGCCAGTACCACATTGTTTTGATTGTTCTATCTTTGTGGTAAGTTTTGAAATCAGAAAGCCCTGCTTTTGATTGCCTTTTTTTTTTTTTTTTAAGACAGTCTCACTGTATTGCCCAGGCTAGAGTGGAGTGGTGGGATCTCAGCCCCCTACAACCTCCACCTCTGGGATTCAAGCCATTCTTACGGCTCAGTCTCCCAAGTAGCTGGGATTACAGGCACCCACTATCATACCCGGCTAATTTTTGTATTTTTAGTAGAGACAGGGTTTCACCATGTTGATCAGGCTGGTCTTGAACCCCTGATCTCAAGTGACCCGTCCTCCTTAATCTCTCAAAGTGTTGGGATTATAGATCTGAGACAACTTGCCTGGCTTGATTGCTTTTGATTTATTTTGATTACTTTTAATTTATGCATTACTTTTTCTTTTTGAGATGGAGTCACGCTCTGTCACCCAGGCTGAAGTGCAATGGGGTGATCTTGGCTCACTGCAACATCTGCCTCCCGGGTTCAAGCGTTTAGAGTCACACACTACCATGCCCAGCTAATTTTTATATTTTTAGTAGAGTCGGGGTTTCACCATATTGGTCAGGCTGGTCTCAAACTCCTGACCTCGTGATCTGCCTATCTCAGCCTCCCAAAGTGCTGGGATTACAGATGTGAGCCACTGCGCCTGGCCTATGCATTGCTTCATATGTATTTTAAAATTTATAAGTTCTCCTTCCGTGGTGTTTTTGTCCTATGTGATTTATTTGTTAAAGAGACTGCTTTTTTTTTTTTTTTTTTTTTTTTTTGAGACGATGACTCACTCTGTTGCCCAAGCTGGAGTGCAATGGCGTTATCTTGGCTCACTGCAACATCCATCCCCCGGGTTCAGGTGATTCTCCCGCCTCAGCCTCTCAAGTAGCTGGGATTACAGGTGCCTGCCACCACATCCGGCTAATTTTTGTATTTTTAATAGAGACAGAGTTTCATCATGTTGGCTAGTCTGGTCTCGCTCCTGACCTCATGATCCGTCTGCCTCAGCCTCCCTAAGTGCTGGGATTACAGGCATGAACCACCGTGCCCAGCCAAAATTGTCATTTTTTTTATGTCTCATTTAATATATTCTGGATTTAAACTGTGAGTAACCTCATGGTATCAGTTAACATATTCTTTCATCTTACTGTTTCTTGTGAACTGCTAAATCTGTAAGCTTGATTAGATCTGTCATATTTGTATCACATCAGAATGCACTTTTTTTTTTTTTTTTTAAATGCAGGGAAATTGTATAAAAGTAGACAGAATAGTAAAATGAACCCCTGCGTACCTGTCACCCAGCTTTAATAGTTATCAGCTTATATCATTCTTGTTTGATTTATAACCCCATCCATTTCTTTTCTTCTGTATTATTATTATTTAGTTATTTTGTGAGACAGGGTCTTGCTCTATAATCCATGCTGGAGTGCTGTGGGGTAATCACAGCTCACTGCAGTTTTGACCTCCGGGGCTCAAGCGATCCTCCCACCTCACCTTACCAAGTACCTGGGACCACAGGGTGTACACCACCACACCTAGCTAATTTTTTATTTTTTGTAGAAAAGGGGTCTCGCTTTGTTGCCCAGACTGGTCTCAAACTCCTGCACTTAAGTGATCCTCCTGCCTCAGCCTCCCAAAGTTCTGGGATTACAAGCATGAGCTAACACGTCCAACATGAACTTTTTTTTATATTAATTTAACTGGCATTTTAAGTCACACTTGAATTTCATATTTAGCAACTATTAAAAGCATAGAATCCTGGATATTAGTGTTTTGTTAAACCTCATCTGTCTAACCATAAATATACTTAAACCTAAAATGTGACCTTGGCCTTTTTAATTGAAATTCCGTATTTGTTACTATATGAAATAGAATATTTGGTTTGAGATACTAATGAAAAGATTAAAAGTAAAGAATAATTTGAATGGATACAAAAAGAAACAAGAATTTAGACTTCTGTAAATTTTAGAGAATACTGCATTGATACGCTAACATTTCTCTTGGGCGTCCAACCATGTCATAGATCAGTGAAAATCAAGTGGTTTTTGCACTCTGTACTGCTTTTTATATGATAATATTTTCCTGGTTGAACAGTTTGTTCTGCTGAGTAAACTCCATGTCAAACAATTACTTTTTATTAGTCAAAGATGTAACTAACTACATAATCACTAAAAAGAACATTGTGACTTCTTGAAAGGGGATTATGTTTTTAAATCTTTTACATAACTCTGTAGGGGGGCCATATGAGTTTAAGGACAGTTCATGGCATTTGTTCAAGGTTTTGTAATAGGGCATTTCAGCAACCACCAGGGTACCAGATCATCCTTCTAAGTAAGATTTAGGCTTTTTTTTTTTTTTTTTTTTTAGAGATGGAGTTTCGTTCTTGTTGCCCAGGTCTCAACTTAATGCAACCTCCACCTCCTAGGTTCAAGCAATTCTCCTGCCTCAGCCTTCTACGTAGCTGGGATTACAGGCATGCGCCACCACGCCTGGCTAATTTTGTACTTTTAGTAGAGATGGGGTTTCTCCATGCTGGTCAGGCTGGTCTTGAACTCCCGACCTCAGGTGATCCACCCTCCTTGGCCTCCCAAAGTGCTGGGATTATAGGTGTGAGCCATGGGGCCGGCAAGATTTAAGCATGTTAACCTTCATGTACAGACTATAAGTAACCCCCCTCCAAGAAAAAACAGTAGTAAATTCAAATGATGATTGAAAAAGTATAGAATTTCTGTTAGGTGAAGGTAGTTTATTCCTTGTGATACAGTTTCTGAGAGGCAACATAACCTAGAAATCAAAAGCTTAGACATGGAATCAGATACACCTGGTTTAAATACCAGCTCTACTGCTCATGAACTGGATGATTTTGGTAAAGATATTTGAATGCTAAGGTTCAGTTTCCTCACCTTTAAAGTGGAGGTGATAGATTAGACATGTTGCATGTAAAGTACTTAGTATAGTGTCTGGTTTTATAGTAAGACCTATAAAAGATAACGTTATTAGTTGTATTTTTTAGGCTTCAGGAAATTATCTCTGTGACATGTTTGAGGTAAGCAGTTAAAGAATTAGAATATTAGAAGTGAAAGGAATCCTAGAGATCGTTTGATTCAATTCACTGTTTTCTGGATGAGAGAAGAAAGTAAGGAAAGTGTCAGAGTTGGAAACCAAGCTTGGACTGGCCTCTGTTAAAACTACTATTCTAGGAGTAGACCAGTAATATTGACAGACTTTTTGGACCTGAATTGTGGTTTTCCTTGAATGTTTTGAATTTTAGCTTGAGTGTTGTGATTATTTTATTAAAATGAGATTCTAGTCCTCTTGTCATGACTAATGTTTATGAGGATATATAACATTTCACTTTAATGATTTTTTTTTTTTGGAGACGGAGTCTCACTCTGTTGCCCAGGCTGGAGTGCAGTGGAACGATCTCGGCTTGCTGCGTCCTCTGCCTCCCAGGTTCAAGTGATTCTTCTGCCTCAGCCTCCCGAGTGGCTGGGATTACAGGGTTCCACCACCACACCTGGCTAATTTTTGTGTTTTTAGTAGAAACAAGGTTTCACCATGTTGGTTAGGCTGGTCTCGAACTCCTGACCTTGTGATCTGCCCTCCTTGGCCTCCCACAGTGCTGGGATTATAGATGTGAGCCACCACACCTGGCTAATGATGTTTTTAAATTATTCTAAGGGGCCTAATCTTTTTCAGTGGAATAAGCTTTAGGTTGTATTATGTTCTAAAAATCACTTGAAACTAGAGTTCATCTTACTGGAAATTACTTGACAGCTGATTTTTGTGTACTGCATCTTTTCTGAGGGAGAGAGTTGTCAGGGAAAGGCACTTGTTACAACAGTCCACACATAGACACATATTATTTAGAAATGAAAGTGCTTTGAATGAATTATTTTCAATTTTTGAATTGAATTATTTTCATTTTTTTTTTCCTACAGTTGTAATTATGTGACCTGTTTTTCTTTTCTTTTTTTTCTTTTTCTTTTTTGAGACAGAGTCTGCTCTATTGCCCAGGCTGGAGTACAATGGTGCGGTCACAGTTCACTGCAATCTCTGCCTCCTGGGTTCAAGCAGTTCTCCTGCCTCAGCCTCTCGAGTAGCTGGGACTACAGGCACGTGCCACAACACCTGGCTAATTTGTGTATTTTTAATAGAGACGGGGTTTTGCCATGTTGACTTGGCTGGTCTCGAACTCCTGACCTCATGATCTGCCTGCCTTGGCCTCCCAAAGTGCTGGGATTATAGGCATGAGCCACTGTGCCCGGCCCATATGACCTGTTTTTCTTTTATAGATGGGTGTGAAATACGGGAATTGACTTGGTGTCAGTTAACTGTTTTGGTTAAATAAGGAACATAATCTGTATTTTGCTTCTGTGAGTAGCTCTTTATAACAGTGATTGGTTACTTTGGGAGTAAAGATTATTATTTAGAGACAGGGTCTTGCTTTGTTGCTCAGGCTAGACTGTAGTGACAATGATCATAGCCCACTGTGGCCTCAAACTCCTGGACTCTGGTGATCCTGCCTCAGCCTCCTCAGTAGCTAGGAAGTGCATGCCACCATGCCTGGCTGTGATTATTATTAATTTACATTTAACATTAGTTTTTTTTTTTCTTTCAGTAAGCTATTTTACTTTATTTGATTTTGATAAAGTTTGATTCTTTCTAGTTTTCTTCCTTCCGTGACCCCTACCTATTCCGAGTTTCCAGGCCAGCAGTGTACAGGTAGAGCCATCCTTAGGTAGCCTTTAGACTTAATATTAGGTGAGCTCTCCCCACAGATAGCCCTCCAATATTTGAATTGAATTATATTTTAAGTTTGAAATTTTTTTCAGCTTATCTAGCCTGTTGAATTTAATAAAAATAATATTTAATCTTTTCAGAGGTCGAAACAGTAACAAAGGATTGCCTCAGTCTACGGTGAGTAACTTTAATGTTACTTATTGGGGAAAATTAGTAGCCAAAACATGGTATTTAACCACAGACCAAATGCCAAGGCAAAAAAAAATCCTTTCTCTTGAATTTTATTACAGATAACTTGACTGTTTATAATGTTCTTAGCCTATATGTGTTGTTTTTTATGACTCTGTATATAAAATGTAAAATTATTTGTTGTATTAGTTCGTTCACACACTGATAATAAAGATATACCCAAAATTGGGTAATATATAAGGAAAGAGGCTCAGGAAGCTTACAGTCATGGTGGAAAGGGAAGCAAACACATCCTTCTCAATGGTGGCTGGAGAGAGAAGTGCTGACCAAAGGGGAGAGAAAGCTCCTTATAAAACTGTCAGATCTCCCAAGAACTCACTCACTATCATGAGAGCAGCATGGGGGAAATGGCCCCCATGATTCAGTTGTCTCTACCTGGTACTGCCCTTGACACATGGGGATTATTACAATTACAAGATTTGGGTGGGGACACAGAACCAAACCATATCATTTGTAAATAGTACTTTTGTCGTGTAATAATAACAAATCATTTGTTCTTTTCTAAAGGACCAAGGTGACAATCTAAGTGAAAAACCTCCAAAAGATATGTAGAATGCCTAGAGTGGAGTTTGCAGAGTTCTTTATGCTTTTTATTTTGAATTAATGTGCATTTTTTTCTGCTGCTTTCATTTTTCTCCTTTGGTGTTCTGGTCTTAAATTTTGCAATGTTATCAATGAAATTGAACCAGACATGAAGGGCAAAAGGTATAAGTTCCACATGATGGAAGAAATAAATGAGAAATTATCACTAACTTTTGAGACTTTTCCTTTATTAGAGACATTGTTTTATGAGAATCGGGAAGACACACACGTAGTAATACAGAATAGTGTGGTTAATCAGACTTAAGCACTGTTATTGATGCAGGTATGCTGAGAGAACCTGGTCAGGGTTCTTTGCTGAAGGTCTGCCCTGGCTTCCTACCCCATTTATTTACACTTCACCCTTCTTAACGTACATACACTTTTGAGAGATTTAACAAATACATACAATCAGAGTAACTACCACAACAATTAAGATAAATAGAACAGTTTCATTGCCACCAAAATCCCTCAAATCACTTTTAAGTGAACCTCCTCTCTCTCTCCAACCATTAATTTGTCTTCTATATCTTTATGGTTTGTGTCTTTTCACCTCTGTGGAAGTTTACTTCTGCTTTTTTGTATCACATATAGTCAAAATGTTGTTAGTTGGTATGACTGATAACACTTGAAAACCTGACCTTCTATTCTCTACGGAAGCAAGATATTAAATAAACAAAATATTTCTTTAATTCACATAAGATATCATAATCCTAGCAAAACATTTTGCAACAAAATAAACATTAACTTTATATGCAAGTGTAAATAGAGGTTGAGTGCCCCAAATTGGAAATGCGCCAGTATTTCACATTTTGATATAGGAATGTTCAAGTATTAAGTATAATGCAGATATCCCCAAATTCAGAAAAATCCCTAGTCTGAAATACTTCTGGTCCCAAGCATTTTAGATAAGAAAGATTCAATTTGTACTAATTTCTAATAGTCTTTTTTTTTTTTTTTTTTAATATTCCAGATTTCTTTTGATGGAATCTATGCAAATATGAGGATGGTTCATATACTTACATCAGTTGTTGTAAGTTATTAGATTGTTGGGGATAAACTGCCATGGGGGTAGAATAAAGTCAGTCCATGAGGTTAAAATATGGATAAATGATTTTCAAAGTAGCATTGCTTAGATCATATTTAGTCAGGATGATTTAGAGAAATAGGTTAGAACTCCCTTATCCAGTCTGATAGAACTAATTGTAAAAGTACAGTTGGTCCTCTGCATCTGTGGGTTTCATATTTATGGATTCAACCAACCTTGGATCAAAATATGTGAGAAAAAGGCCAGGCACAGTGACTGATACCTGTAATCCTAGCACTTTGGGAGTTTAAGGTGGGCAGATCACTTCAGCTCACGAGTTTGAGACCAGCCTTGGCAACATGGCAGAATTCCGTCTCTACAAAAAGCGAAAAACTACCTGGGCATGGTGTTGCGTGCTTGTAGTCCCAGCGACTTCGGACGCTGAGGTGGGAGGATTGTTTGAGCCTTGGGGGTGGAGGTTTCAGCAAGCTGAGGTAATGCCACTGTACTCCAGCCTGGGCAATAGAACCAGATCCTGTCTGAAATAAAAAAAAAATTTCTTTTTTGAGAAAAAAGATGTATGATCACACCTGAACCGAAGATGTACAGATGTTTTTCTTGTCATTCTTCCCAAAACTATACAATATGACAACTATTTACATAGCATTTACATTGTATTAGGTATTATAAGTAATTTAGAGATAATTTAAAGTATTTAGGAGAATATACTTAGTTATATGCAATTAAATTTTACACAAGTGACTTAAGTGTTGTATAGTTGGTATCTGAAGGAGGTCCTGGAACCCCACCTATAACAACAGACATCTGTATTGTTAACCCTGCTGTGTGTGTAAAATAATATTAGTAGTTGATTGTCTTTTGTACGTAATTTTGTCACTTAAAGTAGCTGGGGTCAGAAATGTTTGATTTCAGTGTTAAAATTTGTACTGCAAACTCTTGAGTAGAGCCTCCTAAAGAGTTTTGAAAGTTCAGTGCGTTGTTAATGTTTTGAAATTTTTTAATTGTTTTGTTAGTAAATACCTAATATTGAATGAAGCCTGATGAGGTATAAAAAGTAAAATGAAAACAATTATCCTTGATGACTGGGTAATATACTGTTTCTTTGATAAATTATATGTTTTTAGGGCTCCAAATGTGAAGTACAGGTGAAAAATGGAGGTATATATGAAGGAGTTTTCAAAACATACAGTCCTAAGGTAATTTTTACTGTTTTTTCCCTTTTTCTTACATAGTAAAATAACATTTTTATAGTCAGCGCTTTACCTGGTTTTTAAAGCCACTTGGAATGATTTTACTCCTCAGTGTCAAATACTGATTATTTTATGGACTAGTTTGTGTAATCAGAAAGACTTCTTGATGTATGTGCTTATTAAACTATGTCAACAATTTTTTAAGCACTGTGACTAATGGAGGATGTGGTGGTTTATTTTTTTCTCTTTAAAAAAAGCATTATTAATATACTTAAGACAGCCCATGGCACCAAAAAACATTTAGATGTGAGGATTTTTTTTTTTTTTTTTTTTTTGAGACGGAGTTTCGCTCTTGTTACCCAGGCTGGAGTGCAATGGCGCGATCTCGGCTCACCGCAACCTCCGCCTCCTGGGTTCAGGCAATTCTCCTGCCTCAGCCTCCTGAGTAGCTGGGATTACAGGCACGTGCCACCATGCCCAGCTAATTTTTTGTATTTTTAGTAGAGATGGGGTTTCACCATGTTGACCAGGATGGTCTCGATCTCTTGATCTCGTGATCCACCCGCCTCGGCCTCCCAAAGTGCTGGGATTACAGGCTTGAGCCACCGCGCCCGGCAGATGTGAGGATTTTTAAATGATGGAATTGAAAATAGATCATATATCAGGGAAGAAAGGTATGATTATCAGGTTCTCTTGAGATTATTTTCGTCAAAGGCATATAAGAACTGGTAACTTTATGAGCTAAATAATTTCTAACGAATTTGATTTTGTAAATGTTTTGAATACTTACTTGTGTTTTTCATTTCAGTGTGATTTGGTACTTGATGCTGCACATGAGAAAAGTACAGAATCCAGTTCGGGGCCAAAACGTGAAGAAATAATGGAGAGTATTTTGTTCAAATGTTCAGACTTTGTTGTGGTACAGTTTAAAGATATGGACTCCAGTTATGCAAAAAGAGGTGGGTTTTGATTTTTTAATTATGGTTTACTAGATTTTTTCAAGCATCGATTTCCGCAGTGATCCTACAAACTTACTTTTTTTTTTTTAAAAGAAATATCTAGGCCGGGCCTGGTGGTTCATGCCTGTAATCCCAGCACTTTGGGAGGCTGAGACGGGTGGATCACCTGAGATCAGGAGTTCAAGACCAGCCTAGCCAACGTGGTGAAACCCCATCTCTACTAAAAATATAAAAATTAGCTGGGTGTGGTGGTGTGCTCCTGTAGTCCCAGCTACCAGAAAGGCTGAGACAAAATTACTTGAATGCAGGAGGTGGAGGTTGCAATGAGCCGAGATCACATCACTGCACTCCAGCCTGGGCAACAGAGCAAGACTTGGTCTTAAAAAAAAAAAAAAAAAAAAAAGACCTGCTTTCTAGAATAACCCGAGTAAGATAGTTTTTTAGAAAAATGGGAATTTTAATGCATTTTTGTTAGAAAACATTTAAAACTGTAGAGAAAAATTAAATAGAGTTTTAGTGATCGCTTAAATAGTTTGTAAAGTATTTTCTACAGTGGTGTGGTCAAGAATGCTACTGATTATATTCAACTGAAAATTCTTGTCCCATTTGGCCTATAATGCTTTAGTTTATAAATGGGCATGTGGCTAATCTGGAAAGAAATCAAGGCATAGAGCTAAGGAAGAAAGGTAGAGACTGGTCGATAGAAAACAATTGTGTAATAAAAATGAAAAAGGGTAAAGGAGTAGAACATGTGTATTTAAAAAACATTCAGAGAATGAGATGATGTTTTGAGAATTTAAAAACATTTATGTAAGTGTATTAAAAATGTAGTCTCAGCAGGCACCGTGGCTCATGCCTGTAATCCCAGCACTTTGGGAGGCCAAGGCGGGCGGATCACGAGGTCAAGAAATCGAGACCATCCTGGCCAACATGGTGAAACCCCATCTCTACTAAAAATACAAAAAAATTAGCTGGGTGTGGTGGCGTGCGCCTGTAGTCTCAGCTACTTGGAAGGCTGAGGTGGGAGAATTGCTTGAACCTGGGAGGTGGAGGTTGCGGTGAGCCAAGATTGTGCCACTACACTCCAGCCTGGCGCCTGGTGACGGAGCGCAACTGTGTCTCAAAAAAAATGTAGTCTCTTTTTAAGTGTCCATTGAGGAACATAGTGGGAATTCCTGTTACTCATTTGCAAGGCATTATTGAGTGTTCAGTAACATGTTCTAAGGCCCACTTCTGGGCAATCTTGAACTTGGTTCTAAAATTCTTTTTTTTGAGATGGAGTTTCGCTCTTGTTGCCTAGGCTGGAGTGCAGTGGCGTGATCTTGTCTCACCGCAACCTTCACCTCCTGGGTTTAAGTGAGTGATTCTCCTGCCTCAGCTTCCTGAGTAGCGGGGATTACAGGCATGTGCCACCACAGCTGGCTAATTTTGTATTTTTAGTAGAGATGGGGTTTCTCTGTGTCCTTCAGGCTGGTCTTGAACTATTGACCTCAGGTGATCCATCACACCCAGCCCTAAGATTTTTATTTGTTTGTTTATACCAAATTCTGTAGTGAAATATGTAATTCTGGTGTAAATTGTGATTCTGTACAATTTGATTTTCACTATTTAAACCTTACCAAAAGCTGTTTTTATTGTTGGGCTGATTATTCTACACTGTTACTTGGAAAGAATAATATACCAGGAGTCTTTCTCTTCTCAAGGCTCTCATCTATTAGTTGGCTTGCTTTTTCAGAGGCTAACAGTACTGAGTATTCTTAACTGTCTTGAAATGCGATTGAAAGCACAGTCTTCTGTTTTTGAATGTTCTCAAATGTCCTTGTGTTTGATTCACAACTCTTTGTCTTAAGAGGCCTTCAGCATCCCATCTAAGGAAGCAAGTCTTTTTTTAGTTGCTACCTTTGGAGTTGATCTTGTTTATGCTTAGGAGCACTAAATTATTTATACTTATACTATTGAAATATTCCACTGTTATAAATTCAAAAGTTGACTTTGGGAAGATAAAATTTTAGTTTAGTTTAATACATAGCACTCTGGAAAGAGTATTGGCCACAACAACAACAAAAAATGTTCTCTGCTCTATTGGGTACCAGGTCATCTAACTAACCGCCATTTACATTATGTGTTATCTTTTTGTTTTTCTGATGAATTGGTGTTTCCCAAATGTGGAAGAGTGAATATTACTTTGAGATGTTTGTGATAGTCCATTCCTTGCTCTTTTTAAAAATTAATGTCATTACATTTTTATTACTTTTATTAATATCTTCATTTCTCAGATAATTTTAGTTCATTATAAAAGGCAAGAAAATCTCACTGTACTCATAAGGGGATAAGGGCATTTACAAAATTAGTTTTCTTGATGAGGACATCCAGTATTGGAGTATTTTCAGGTATCTTATTTCAAGACTTACAGTGGTTTAGTGAATTATACAGTTATGTCCAGTACATAATATCCTGAAAATAGTATTAAGTCATGCATTTAGGACTTCAGGTATCCTAAGCTAAGTTAAGACTATTTAGGCAGAAGTTGCCCTCTCTATAAAAGAAAAAAAAGTATTAATTTGGAAATACTATTAGAATGGAGAAATTTGTTTTTGAGTTATTAATTGGCATGGTTTTCTTTTTTCCTTTTTTTTTTTTTTTTCCTGAGACGGAGTCTTGCTCTATTGCCCAGGCTGGAGTGCAGTGGCATGATCTCGGCTCTCTGCCACTTCTGCCTTCTGTGTTGAAGCGATTCTCCTCCTTTAGCCTCCTGAGTAGCTGGGATTATAAGCTCATGCCATCTTATTTTTATTTTTATTTTTTTTTTGTATTCTTAGTAGAATCAATGCTTCTGAATGTTGGGTTCACATTTAGTCACCCGGAGAGTTTTAAAAAATGTTCTCACTTCTAGAGATCCTAGTTAAATTACAATTAGTCTGGGTGAGGCTCTGGGCAGTCAGGGATGTGAGCCATGGGTTTCATATGAGATCCCAGGAGTGGCTCTGTTCTGTGGCCTTGAGAATTTGTGCTTTGTAGGCTAGGTGCAGTGGCTCATGCCTGTAATCCCATCACTTTGAGAGTCCAAGGTGGGCAGATCATTTGAGGTCAGGAGTTTGAGACCTGCCTGGCCAACGTAGTGAAACCTCATCTCTACTTAAAAAGATTAAAAAATTATTCGGGCGTGGTGGCACATGTATGTAATCCCAGCTACTTGGGAGGCTGAGGCAGAAGAAACCCTTGAACCTGGGAGGTGGAGGTTGTGAGATCGTGCCACTGCACTCCGGCCCAGGTGACAAGTGAAACCCTGTCTCAAAGAAAAAGAATTTATGCTTTTTTTTCTTGCTTTAGAGTCCCCTTTCTGTCTCAGAATTGGTGACTGCCTGAAATAGTCTCTGCTGTTATCATTTGATAATACTTTTCCACATCTTGAATGGATAGATGGATTGAGTGTTTTTTATAATAGAAGTGGATCAATGATAGGAGTATACTAATATGACTTTGTATTTCCTAAAAGAGATGAATTGATTTCATTTCTGAGCTTTTATCTTATAATTCTCTTCTGTAATAGTGCTGCTAAATTCTTAAGGTTGATAATATTAACTAAAATTTGAGTGCATATTCTATTGCCAGACTCTGTGCTAACAGATTCACCTACATTTGTTCACAAAATCATCACAACTTATTTCCGAAGTAGGTACAGCTATTAGCCACGTCATAGGTGAGGAAACAGAGGCATATTTAAGAAATTTGCTGGCCGGGAGCAGTGGCTCACACCTGTAATCCCAGCACTTTGGGAGGCCGACGCGGGCAGATCACAGGGTCTGGATTTCAAGACCAGCCTGGCCAACATAGTGAAACCCCATCTCTATGAAAAATATAAAAGTTAGCTGGCTGTGGTGGTGAGTGCTTGTAGTCCCAGCTACTTGGGAGGCTGAGGTGGAAGAATCACTTGAACCCAGGAGGCGGAGGTTGCAGTGAGCCGATACTGAGCCACTGCACTCTAGCCTGGGTGGCAGAACGAGACCCTACTAAAAAAAACGTGAAAAACTTGCTAAAGTGAGGACACAAGTCTAGCTTTTTCACTCTTAACTCATGTCCTTAACATTATACTGCAGTGGCATAAGATATGTGGTTTGGTTTGTTGTTTAGCTCAATTGTCATAAGTCAAGTTAATGTTTGTTTGGTTGGTTTTTTTTGAGATGAATCTCGCTCTGTCGCCCAGAGTGGAGTGCAGTAGCACGATCTCGGCTTGCTGCAACCTCTGCCTCCTGGGTTCAAGGGATTCTTCTGCCTCAGCCTTCCAAGTACCTGGGATTATAGGCGCTCACCACCACACCCGGCTAATTTTTGTATTTTTAGTAGAGATGGGGTTTACCATATTGGTGAGGCTGGTCTCAGACTTCTGATCTCATGATTTGCCCACCTCTGCTCCGAAAGTGCTGGGATTATAGGATGAGCCATAGCACCTGGCTGCGGGGAAACCTTTTAACGTAAGATCAGTGTGACTTTTAAGTTCTTGATGCTAACATCATTGATTTCAGTAAATTTTAAAAGTTATACATATATGCAAATGAACAAGAGGCTTAGAAATGACTTAGTGACTTCTTACAATACAATTAATCAGTTTCATTTGGACTCTTGAGTGTTATACATGTGCCAGTTAGCTTTATTGACAAACTGAAAGTAGCTTTACATCTGATGAGCTGTGGGTTCCCTTGGCACATTTATAATTAGAAGATTCCATCATGTTATCATTGGAAAATTAGTTAGTATTTTATCTTTTATTTGAATTCCAGTGCAGACAGATCTGAAATTCTCTTCAATTTGCCAAAACTTCTTAGGGCATTCAGCCACTTTTGGCTCTGTATCTGTATACCTTTGGAATTGGGCTGTTACCTCTGCTTGTTTTTTACTTCATTTTCCATCCATTTCCAGTGTTCCTTTCTTCTCTTATTTTTTTCCTTCATTTTCTTTTTGTTCTTGTTGCGCTGTTATTCATGTTTCTCTCTTGACCGCAA